CTCCAGTGGGAATTGAACTTGTACTCAACCGCTTGGGGGTGCGACAACTTCACCACTTCACTAAGTCACCACACCCTCATAAATAAGACTTTATCTTAATACCAAAAGAAATAAAAATAATAATTTTTTATTTGTTTTTTAAATATCTTAGTATTTGAAAATTTCTAAATTTTTTATCTTTTTTTCTATTATATTATACTAGAAAAAATAGATTTTTTGTTTAAATTATTAGATTAAACTCTTTACTATATTCTGCTTTAAAATGCTTGAAGTTCTTTTTTTTTAAGATTAGCTATCTAGTTTTTATATAACTTCAATTTTTCTATAAAATCTTCTATTAATTTATCTAATATCTTTATAGATTTATTTTCTTTTTTAAAATCTTTTTTCTTTAATACCAAACTTTTTATATACTATTTTTTTGTTTATATTTATTGTATAATTTATAATTAGTTTGTTTTATTTACTTCTAAACTTGTATTTTATTTTATATAATAATAATAGATCTACAATACAAAATCAAATGTAATTTCCCAAGAATTGCTTGTAAAAGATGAAAATTTGTTAATTCTTACCATTTTTCTACTATTTCATCCTAGGTTTTATCTTTTTTATCTTTGTTTCCTAAAAAACTAAGAATTATTTTATGCATACCTTTCTTTTACTTAGTACTATAAATTTTTTATAACAAATTTTGTATTTTATTAATATTTTGTTTATAATGAATTTGTATACAGAGAATTAGTGAAAAGGGGTTCAATTTCTATTATAGGTATATCATATAAAAAGTTATTTTGTTTTTTAAAATCTTTATCTTTTTTAGAAAAAAAAAAAAACAAATAAAAAAATATAAAAAAAATATAATAAATAAAACTAGATATATATCTTGAAAGAATTTTTTTCTAAAACCAAAGCTTTTTCTAAAACCATGGTAGAGTGTATATAAAATTTATTATTTATAGTCGCATCTTGTTATAATCACCTAATTTTTGTATTCCGAGCATAAGGTGCAACTGTATTTGATTTTATTTATAACAATAACAATTTAGTTATAAATATAAAAAACATTTAATCTAGATATTAAAAAAAATACTTAGTATATATTTAATTTTATTTACTCGCAATAATTTATCGGGTGAATATAAAAAATATTGAAGTATTCAAAATAATTACTCAAATCCGTGAATATTTACTTCTAATTTTAGGTTGCAAGTACAAAGAGCATTTATTAATAAAAGTATTTAAAATAGAATATTCAAATTTATGAATATTACTATTTAATTTTATTTTAGATTGAGTATAAAGCATATTTATTAATCCGGGTAGTTAAAATAAGATATTTAAGTTCAGAAATGGTCGGGTAAGTGGATATCGGAAAAATTGTTGTCGGGAAAGTGACTGTCGGGTAAATAAAGTCGAGGACCCTGAGTTTTTATTGGATAATATTATTGACTATTCGCGTATTTTTATTGGTCAATAATATATGGTTCCAGTGGAAAGACCGTTCCAGTGGAATTTCTCGCTGGAACTACTGGATCACTGGAAAAATTTGGACGTCCAGTGAGGGTTCCAGCTTCCAGTCAACAACACTGCTCTAAGGGGATCCCTAATATTAAAAATGTATTGGTTTCTCATCAAGCACATCTGCAAAAGTGAACAAATATAGTTAGGATTTCTGTCCTCTCAACTATGACACATGAATTTGCCTTCCAGTTGCTAATTTCTCACTAAACGCATTAAACATGCATTCAAACGAAAAAATTTGATAACATTGATATTATTGTTATAGCCAAACTATCTGTCAAACAATCATTATTAATACAAAAATAACTTTTATTATATCAGCCGAAAAATCATTCGAAACAGCTGTAAATAATGTGCCAGCTTGAGCTAACTTACTTGAGCCGGCTTGAGTCAATCGGTTTGAGCCAACTTATTTGAGCCGGCTTGAGCCATCAGCTCGAGCCGGCTCACTTGAGCCGGCTTGAACAGGCTCGGATTGGTTCTTTGAGCCAAGCCGAACTGGCTCAAGCCGGTCCCATCCCTAGTCTGATGATTGTGAATAAAGTAGCTTACCGTAAAAACGCAGTTTGAAGTAGAATTTTGAACCTGCTGTAGTTTTCAAATTACTTCAATATTGTGTAAAGCTTTGAGACTGATATCCAGATTGAGATCGAATTTCAAAATCTTGACTCAAAATAGTATCATCTCCTTGACTCTTGTAATCGTCTAAATATCCAATCGAGCTATCCTGAGACATGATGGAGCCATGACCCAAAGAGGAATTCGAATTCTCCATCATCCGGAGGCGGTCAGATTGTGATAATGCAAGACTCATTGATCCTTGACTGCTATAAGCATTCTGAGTAAGAGGGCCTTGAGATGAGAGCGAGTGTGAATAACCATTATATGAAGAGGTTTGCTGTTGTTTAGTGTTCTTTCTGCTAGAAATACTGCTTTGAGATAAATCTTGAGTAAAAGGCCCATTTGGAGTAGGAAGCAACGGGATACTAAATTGAGATGATGATGGAATTGAACTCATGTCTGATGGAATATAACCAACTGGGTCGTGTGTTCTAATAAAATCGGAATCGTACGACCTAGTACCGCGGCGATCTTTATATAAAAGGAAACGTTAAAAATGGTACCAGTGAAATTATTAATGTGCCAAAATATTTACTTACTTTCACTAGCAAGAGGTGGCTTTGCAAAAGCCTCACGTGCATCAATCTGATGAGCCAATCCTTGTCGAAACTTATCGTCCTTTCGATAAGCTCTACGAGGTCGACTAAATTGTATCATACTAACTTTCAAATTATTTAAAGGTCCCTCTACTAAACAATCCTTTTCCTTGTAGTGAATAAGAAGATGATGCCATAAAGGATGCTAATGTGGCAAATATGAAAAAAAAAGTTAAAAATATATTTCATTCAGACTAACCTTCAATTATTCACATGTCCTTACCTTGCTTAAGACCTTTGGATTTCCCAAAATCACAACACCATAACGTGCTCTAGTTAAAGCCACGTTCAACCTTCGAGGATCGTTTAAGAAACCAATTCCTTGATGTTCATTACTTCTAACACAGCTCAAAATTATATAATCTTTCTCACGTCCTTGAAATGCATCAACACTAGCTACTTCGATCTCTTTGTATAAATCTTTGCGCAAAGAACCATTAAATTGCATATAACTAACAACGTAACTACGTTGTCCTTCATAAGGAGTAATAATTCCAATTTGAGTTGGCAATATTCCTGATTTTAAAAATTTGGTAACCACTTTTTCACAATTTGAAGCCTCCGTTCTAATAAATAAATGTACGATTGGTATCTTTAATCAAAAGGTTGATTTTATGAGGTGTCAACATTTTTATACTGACCGATTCAAATAAGATGTTCCGCTGCTAGAAATTTCTTCTTGACCCAAATTCGAGTGAAAGAACATTGGAGTCTCCGGTGCTGGCCATGGAAAATCAACGTGTTTACGCAAACGTTCTTGGGTCGTGACACCGTTTTGCAAGGATCCCTCATAGAACATATTGCTTGGAAATTCAGATAAACAAGGATGCATACGATATTGAACTTGTAAACGAATAGGCCGGATGCCTAAAATGACAAGCCGCTCGAAAAGTGATTGGCATAAACCAGCTCTAGCGGCCTTTTTGTTCATTATGACAGGGCCAAGCTGTTGGTGATCGCCTACAAGGACAGCTTGCTTGCAACCGAGAACAAGTGGTATCATACATTCTGGTTCAGTTGCTTGCGTGGCTTCATCAATCAACACGGTACGAAACTTGAACTTGGATAGGCGCGGATCTCCGGCACCAACACATGTGCAAAGTATAACATCAGCATTCTATTTATATGAAATAGAGATATAACCATTAATTTTAAGTTCAAATTATATAAAAAATTTTTTCTTATTTTGAAAGTTAATATAGGGGTTCTCTTATTTTCATACCTGTAAAATCTCTCTCTCGCAGGCACGTTTCAAAACTTTATATTTTTTCTCATCAGAACTACTTAATTCACCTTGTTCAGTCTTTAATTGAATTAATTTTTGTAATTCAACATTTGTATCGTTATTATGTACTTGTTCATGCAAAGTAAGAAACGACACTGGCGAATCTAACGCCTCACGTGATTTTGCAGTAAGACGAACTACTTTAAGTCCGGTTGCATGTATTTTTTCCGTCAATTGATCGACAGCGACATTTGACGGTGCACAAACCAACACTTGACCAGGATTCATCTTGGCAAGGTGGTAAACGATAGTAGCCGACGTGACAGTTTTTCCGGTTCCAGGTGGACCTTGAATAAGGCTAAGTGGCTTTTGCAGAACGCTTTTCACAGCATATACTTGTGAATGGTTCAGCTCTGGCAAGTTTGGAGCGGAAAATCTTGTTGGAATAAAGTACACAAATATTAAACGAATAAACATTGATCAAAATTGAAAATTCCTATAAATGTATGAATGATACAATACAAACCTCTTTGGCATTTGAGTTCTCAAAACTTGTGGTTCCACTTCATGACCTAGAAGCTTATGATATATATATCCACTCACTGAAGTCTCGTCAACTGCAAATGTTTTCATTGCTGCTTGCATTCTGTCAAAGCTAGTTGATTTCCACACAAAATCCACGGAGAAATTATGCGTACATTCTACCGGTGTATTATCATTTCGTCGTAATTCCAAACCAACTTCATCACTAACGTCTAAATATAAGATTAATATACCAATTTTAAAGATGATTATAAACACATCAAACACGTAATTTGTTGCATGATCACTTACTATTTGGAATTTTGATGACATGACCAACGCATTCCCATGATTGATGCAATTCACCCCTATATCTCAGTCTTAACTCATCTCCAACAGCTAAACGAACCTCTAAAAAATTCCGTCAATATATAAGTTTAAAAATTACAAATAATAAATAAATTAAATAGCATGCAAATGGAAAGTATAATACCTCCAGATTCTAACTTTGGTAAATAGAACCATGCTATACGTTTTTGATTTAAACCGATATCCCAACGAACAACAATATCATCCTGAGTTTGAGATTCTTTTAACTTTTTGTCATAATCAGCCTCCATTTTAACCAAAGGTCCGAAAATATTCTGATATTGATAAGCATCTTCATATCTAAAAAAACGGTAAAAAATGGTAAATATGTATAAATATATTAATGTATAATCGACGATATCAAACAGCACATAGACATTACCTTAATAAGACAGGTTGAGGTTCGTCGTCAATACCGGGTTTTTCCAAATCTTCAAGTGTTGCTTCCGCGTTATCTTTCCACAATTCCTCGAGTTTGTTGATCTGATGCGCTGTGATCTGCCGAGCACGAAGTTGTTCTTGTTCACTAGGGACTTTAACAAGCCATGGAAGGAAACATCGATCATCTATAAGAGGAAGCCATTGGGAAGTATCCCAATTCATATCCTTGCTACTTGGCATTGCGGCACATGGTTGTCTATTTTATATATATGTAAAAAAAAAAAAATCATAAGTGAGTTATATAAGATCCGTTGAATCATCACGTATATTTTCAATCAATACTAACCGACATAATAATACGACGACAGTATCACTTTTTGCAGGAATAAAACCAAGCAAAAAAACATTTCTACACCCACAATTATAACATTCAAGTGTAGTTTCACCAAGAGTCGAGTCAGGGTGCAAAGCAACTTCTTTATGTTTGGCTCGAACAAGATGGTTAATTATATGAGAACCAGATGTATTTCCTCGAGAATTACAAAACCACTTGCTACAAGTAACACATCTAGCCACGGAACTCACTGCGTGTATTCCGCAGTACCTTAAAAATATCAGAAATCAAAATGATATTAAGAAACCTTTAAAATTATATAAATCCACACTTTTGAAAAAGGTAAACGGGTACCTGCAAGCATGTTCTGGTAATTCTCTTTCAACAATTGTTAAATCTTGAAATGGGTCAATTTCGTCGACACCTGTTAAATCAGGCTCAATAAACTGCGACTGAGAGCCGTCAAGAGTTTGTTGCGAATTTAAAGTTGAGTCAAGGGAAAACTCATTATAATCATATTGAGACGCCTGAGTATCGCCACCAGAATATTCAAGAAAAGAGAAATTTTCATCCTGGGTATTTTGAGCATTAAATCGATCCATATTAAAATCGATACAAAGGGTCTTGAAAATAACAAACAGTCCAGAAGTGTCAAGCTTTCATACGTATATATACCATTAATCATGATTATACTACGTTTCACAAGTCAGACCGAACTTAAACATCCGGACTATTTCGGATAACTAAACATGCTTTCGCGAACGTGCATAAAGTTGTACAAATTGAAACTAAGTAACAGAGCTTTAGAACTCTATATTTTTGAACAGAAAAAAAAAAATGGAAGATCAGGCTGATGGACGAGACGATCGCGCAGTTGACGTTGAAATGACCAGCAAAGATTATTATTTTGATTCTTATGCGCATTTTGGTGTGTACGGTAATCTTTTTTTAACTTTTTATATTTTTTTTCTTAATATATATTTTTTTTTTTTTACCAATTTTAAGGGATTCATGAGGAAATGTTGAAGGATGAAGTGAGAACACTTTCTTATCGCTCGTCCATTTATCAGAATCGCCATCTCTTTAAAGATAAAATCGTGCTAGACGTTGGCTGTGGAACTGGTATTCTATCGATGTTTGCCGCAAAAGCTGGTGCTAAACACGTTTATGGGGTAAGATCCCATATAGTCATTGTCTTGTTTAAATCTTGAATTTGAAAAAGAATTATTTCGGTAATATATTTATAATCTTTTTTATTCCAGATTGATATGTCAAATATTATTGATCAAGCGCGTCAGATCATAATCGATAACAATTTAGATGATAGTAAGATATTACTACCTGACTGTAATTTTATCAAACAGTTGAGCGTGATAATCGATCATCTATTTTCTCGTTAGAAATTACGTTGATCAAAGGCAAAATGGAAGAAGTCGAATTACCGGTTGATAAGGTAGATATTATCATATCAGAGTGGATGGGGTATTTTTTATTGTACGAATCTATGTTGGATACCGTCTTGGTTGCTCGGGACAAATACCTGGTAAGTTCGCATACACGTTAACAATGAATGTAATGTTAAGAAGATAATCATTCATAATACTTATTCATAATACTTATTCATAATACTTTAATTTATATAC